TTGAACTTATCATCAAGCACTCATATTCAATTTTGGAAGGCGACGTGATCATCGAACGACTCCATGATGGAGACATCAAACTCGACACAGGTATGATCTTCCGACCCAATGTGCATCTCTTCCATGGCACAACATAACGCGACTTCATCTTCCGCACGTGCCATTTCAGCTCTGAGAACTGCAAGGTGGGCCTCGTCATCGTGTTCTTCAAGAAAGCCCCGGGCAACGGCGACGACAGCTGGGTCACACTCGGGGTTTTCGGGCAAACGGCCGACACGCTCCAGTTTGGATTTCATCAGGTGAGGGATCTTGAATTGATTGCCGCCGCCATTCTTCAAAATTTCCAACATTACGACTTGTAGCGTGCGAAAGTTGGAAAGCAGCGTCGTATGCGGTACGTCATCCCACGCATCACGCACATTCCGTACGATGTCGTCGATTGTTCTTGCGGCGCACTTCACTGAAGACTTTGTAGAGCACGAAAGAAACCCAAATCAAGCACGTTTCAATCGGGTGAGTTGGCAGGCTGGCAAACGACATTGATGCAGAAACCATCACAATACCCTGCGGACGCAACGTCGACATCGTCAACAGGTATGTGTGGGCCGGCGTTGTCTTGCTGGAGTTTAATCATTTTGCTTTCACCGATAGGCCAGAGCCTTTTAATCGCTGGTATGACATTGTCCAAAAGCATTTTCTTGTAGACAGCTCTTGTAACCGCGACAGGTGTTGTAATCAATGTCCCTTTTTCTCGATTGATGCTGGTTCTTGCAGCAGGCACCATTTCTGTAAACGGCCAGCATCCAATTTTTCCGTCCCACCACGATTGTTTATTGTGGTCCCATCGTGGTTTAGCCACAGCACAAAGTACCATAATCTATTTTGTAGTTTGACATGTATTTTGCCGCAAAACGAGGTGCAGTACCTTTAAAATGTAGTTCTTGTTTTTCACGGATCGTGGCGGAGGAGTTTCACCAGTTACACCGTAAAATGTGCACCTGGTTACTTTGAGAAAGAACCATTTTTCGTCAACATGAACATAATTGTCCATGCTGGCAACAGTAAAATCCGAGCGTATGTGGCTTAGAGCCCATTTGCTACGGAAGTACATGTTAGATGGTGTTAAGAATGGTTTCAATGGACGAAAGTATTTCTTGAAATACGCCGATTTTAGACGTTTGAACAGAACAGTCTTTGGAACGCCTGTGGCCGCAGCAAGATCACGTAACGTAGTTCGGTCCTTTGGGTCCGTTGCCTTAATCTTCTCCAAAAGGTCCGGGTACATGAGCTTTCGCCCACATTTTCCCTTTCTTCTGCTCACAACACTACCGTACTTTCCTCTGTCGGGCTGGCGGCCACGTTTCCAAATTCTGTACACTGTCTGTTGAGATACTTTGTACTCATCAGCGACAGCACACACTACTCCCATGGGTAAACGGCCCTCACATGACACCTCGAGGAGATGTTTGAATATCTCCTCTCGTTGCCAGTCCTTGATGTTGACCTTACTCCCTTTTCCAGTGGCGGGCTTGGCAGCTTGGGATTCCGTGGTTTCAACACGGACAGTCACCACGACATCGTATTCCTCTCACATTGTACAATTTGTGAATACATTGATTTTTGCACGATGAACACACTGATTGCACCCCACGATTGAACTGGTTTTTCCACTTAAAAGGGAACAGACTAGTACGTTGAACCGTGCGTACAACAGATACGTCCAAACTCAACTCCCAGCGGATTGTACTGGCAGAGAGACCCGTCTCGTTGCAGATTTGCCGCTCCATTCGCTTTGTCATTTTACTCGCTGTTCGGCCCTTGTAGCGCTTGCCGTACGAGTCAGGGTCCGTCAGGACGCTTGTTATCGTCTCCCGGTGGCGGCCCATGAGCTCGGCGATCTCAGAGGTCGACTTTCCGCACCTACGGAAAGCCACCACCGACGCGACCTCTTCGGGGGTCAGTTTAGTGTTCTTTCCCATGAACCCAATCTATTTGATGCTGAATATGTATGACAGGATAGTTATGAATCATGGACAAGTGCTTACACGCCTGCATTACCTCCAATACGTGAGAAATTCAAACGTGTCTGAGCTTGCGCTAATTTAATGTAGCGGTCGTGAAATCGAATTTTCTGATATTGGCGCGAGAACTCGCGTTTTGCAAAGTTGGCAATCAAGAATTTCGGCCAATAATCCTGGCAGTCTTGTTTGTTTTTGAAGCTCTGATACTTGATTGGATAAAAAGTATGATGATGCGCTAATCAAGTGGCGCGGAGTGTATCACGTGATCACTTGAAAAAAAAACCACATCGTCACATCGACGGGCACTTCGCCAGAGAATTCCAAGCCAAAGTTGCTCGTGTCGATGGAACACAGCCTACGCCGTGGGCCTATTCGTGACCCACCTTCACATAATCCAAACGCGGTACCGGTTCGGGGGCGTGAACTCCGTGTTCAACACGACCGCAGCCGTGAAGCTCATTCGCAACAATGACACGATGAGCGACGCCGCGTAGTTGGAAGTGCGCCTTCGACAGAGGTCCAGACATGGCGGCTGTGGAACCCCCCCCCCAACAATGCAAACCAGCCAGTAATTGTGTGGGTCGCACACGATGAGTCCGTCTTTTACGCGAATGGTGACGGCGGTAAAGGATGGTCCAAACATGAAATGCACAACCTGCACAAGGAGGGCCATGGGCGCTCGATTATGGTCTCGGATTTCCGGTGCTCCTGCCGCCGTCGTTTGTACACCACTCTCAATGGAGAAAAGACGTACACAGCGCGAATGCTACACGTCGTCAAGAACAACGAGGACAATTGGATATGTGAGGACATGATCAAGCAAGTAAAAGACGAAGTCATATCAGCCATCAGCCTTCAAGCACTTGGACCTTGACGCTCTGGGCTTGTTTACCTTTGACCAGTCCACCATCACGGAGCTTTTGCGACCAATGCCCTTCGTGCCTCAAACATGAGCCTTACGTCTGGTGGTGCTCAAGCCATTCTTCGTCCAGGTCAACTGAAACATGGAAAGGCGCAAAGCATGGTTTTTGAGACGGGGCATCCGCGCAGTCGGGAGGCAAAAGGCCTAAGGCAAGTTCTTTTAGAGCATGGATACGACGCCAAGCATCTTAGGATGCCACTACTGCAAGCAAACAAGCATCATCTCAAGCCAAGAAGACGTACATTTGACTTGTGTCAGGCACTGCACGCTGCCGAACTTTGTGTGCCTAAACAACCCTAGCATTTAGTTGACGCATATTTTGAACTCTTAGACCGCCGTGGCAATTGATAGAGATCACGTCGATTTTTGGCGAAATGGAACCTGCGACTTCTACTTGGTGAACGTTCTTAGGCCCTGGTCGGGGAAAAAACTGGGACGAAATTTAAACTTGGACTCTTTGCTATCCGGACGATATTAACCGGTCGCAGTTT